TCACCTCTCTGAGGCACTCATCCAACACCATCCATGGAGAGAAAAAGGAGTAAGACACTTCAGTTCTGCATTGGTTTATTATTGCAAAAGTCTCTTCTTCAATGTAAAGTAGTGAAGTATTCACTTGCTGCTGTTCTGGTGGAATAGTCACCCTTCTGAAATCATGCTCTGCATCACAGTGTGTGGCTGAAAAGTTTTTCTGTCCATCTGCTTTAAAAAAGGGGGGAAAAATAAGGAAAGAAGCTGGGGAAATGCTTGTGCAGTATGATTTTGGTCATCCTGTTCATGTGACTATTAGAGGGGAGAGGAAAGCTGTGGCAGGAGAGGGGAAGAGGAAGGTGAGTCTCATGGGGAAGATGGAATGAAAGGCAGTCCAGCCCTTGAAAAATGCGACTGATTTTTGTTGGGAGGGCTGACTGGCACAGAGTCATAACACAGCTGGATCCTCCTGGTTCACCTGAGAAATTCCTTGTATGAGGAGAAGGGAAGAGATTACAAGGAGAGCTTTTCCACATACAGCTGTACTACGAAAAGCATAGTGTGTAGCAAGTTACCTGCATTTTTGCATAGCAGTTCTTAAACATTAAGAATTTAGATCAGAGGTGGATCAGACCTTGTTTGAAAAATACTTAATTTCCTCTTTCAACTTCGGGAATATTCTTTGCAAATTCTTCTGTCTCTGGTCTCATTTTAAGTAGACTTCCACCACCTTCTCTGAGAGGTTAATCAAGGCTAGCTAGCACTAGGTGCAATAGAGCCCTCCCTAATATTAAGCTCAATTTTTTATCTCCTTCCTTTCATCCTGTGTATTGTAGTTGCATTTTAGTGTTCCACCACCAGTACTGTCCAAGTGTATGTGTACTTGCATGCATGCTGGGGAGACTTAACAACCACCATACAAAGTTCAGGTTTCAGGGCTCTGTACCTTCCTGAGTTTGGCTGCAGTTCTTGAGTTGCTCTGTAGGATGGCTCAGAGCCACGATTCATTTATTTATATTAGGAAAAAGAAAAGCCAGGTTTCATCTGCTGTGGCTCTGGCTCTCTTCTGAGCTGCAGCAGTGGTCACTTGGGAGCTGCTGGTAGTTACTGTAACTTGCATCTGTGGCTGAATATCAGCATTTCTGTGCATGTCCTTATTTTGCCCTTTTTTTTTTACACCACATTCTCACTTCCAGTGTTGAGTGTTTATCTTTTTTCTTTTTTTTTTAACTGATGAATGTCATGTCGTTTTCCTTTATCATTGTAAGATGCTGAAAGCCAGGCTGACTTACAAGCCTGGCTTTTGTATTCAAAGTATGCCAGTGTTGTCAGGCCAAAATATGTTGTTATAGTCACAATGGGAAAATAACTTCTAAGCACAGCTTTGTTCCTGTTCTCCTTGTATCTTGGCAGGCTAAGCAGTGAGGTCGAGCATTTTCAGTGTTAGATGTAAGATCTAATCAAGGCAAACTCTTCTAAAGGAGGATAAGGCAACATAAATACTTCCCCGCTTTCTCCCCTTAATTATAGCTAGGAAACTTTTTAAGTAAAAGAAGCCTTGGTGAAGGGAGTGTTTAGCTTTAAAAGAAAGGTTGTAGATGTGGATGTGACTTGGCATCTGCTGTAGTTCAGCCCAAATTGGTTGATAAATGGTTTCTTGAGGCAGAATGACATCCATGTTGCAAAGTAAAATAGAGATGAAGATTGTGTCTATCCTTTGTACTGCTCAGCTTTATCTTCCCGCTTATCTTGGGCTCTAGTAATCTCTTTCCTCTCCACCCTTGCCTTGATGTAGTGAAACTCGCTTACCTGCCAAAGGAACAAACCTGCTGGCTGTGCTGTGGACAGGTTGTGACTCTTCTTGAGAACTCTGGAACCTGCTGCTTTGGTTTCAGATTCTTCTTTTTTCCTTAATGATCGCATGCAGAGAGCTATCACAGTGGCTGTGATATGTGACCTACAGACTAAAAGTCAAAGGTGCAGTCAGGGTGTCTTCCTGTTTATAGCTCAATAGCTCAGGCTGCTTCCTTTCAAATATGCAGAACTAAAACATGAAGGGATTACCACATTCCTTGCTGTGGGTATGGATTCCGCTCTGGCTTTTAGGGCATGGCAAAAGCGTGTGCATTGCGGGGAGAACTGCAAGCTGAGGGCAGCCAGTGAGTGACACCAGGCATAGCAAAGCCTCATCGCTGTGGTGCTGCATACACATTAGCAAGCCCTGCCTTATTAGCATACATTATATTCAAACACGGCTGTCCTGCGTCTGGGACTTGCAGGAGCCCGTGTGTTTGCATGCATTAGGTCATGCCAGGCAGAGGTGCCAGGTTGGACTGGCACTAACCTGGAGGTCTCAGCAGTTTCTCCCATTGATATGCTATGGATGTGTCATTGTACCCATCAGAATAGAGTTCAACAGGTGGACATCAGTAGGAAGAAAGAACTTAGCCCTAAGGAAGCTGTTTTTCATAGTAGCTACTAAACAGGAGTTCTTCATACTCATTACTGTGGGAAAAGAGACTTTAAAAGAAAATAGGAACAAAAAGTCTCACACTTAATACATAGCAGGTTTTTTTGTTGTTTGTTTTCTGGGTGAATGTGATTTAGCTTGACTGCTTTTGCTCTCTAGCTGTGTTAAAAGTAACTGGCCAAGTAATACTAGCTGTGCATCACCCAAGCAGCCAGAAGGTTAAGCATGCAGGCCATGTGTGTGCATCTGGGGTGGAGGGACAGAAAGGCACATGCAAAACATTTCTGTCTAACTTTAAAGAGCTCATCGAAACTGGAAAGCAGTCCTTACCAGAAAGAAAAACAAAAAAGACCAGCAAACCACCTTCCAGGTTTTGCTTTGCCTGTGCTGTTGCACACTATGTTTTTTTGTTCCCAGATGTTTGTGTTTTATCTTCAACCATTGTAGGCAGAACAAGTAACTGGCTTCTTCTCCCTTATTCTTGTGTGAATACGGACAACTGCTCCTCACACTGTTGACTTATGACCTATAGGAAACTCAAGCTAGCACAAGCAGTTAGATCAGTGCCATGGGTGTGAGGAGGGAGAGACTAAAGTAAACGAGGTAGTACAGTACCTGTAGATGCCTTCCCTGCAGATTTTGTGAGATCAGGGAGCACTGGATTCATGCTGATAAATCAGTTAGCATTAGTGCCTGCGGTGGTAGGGCTACCAGAGGGCCAAGGCAGGAGAGTCCATTGCACTCCAGAGGCTGTGTCAGCACTCCAGCTTCTCCCTGGGTCCTGTCAAACTGGGAAACCCTCAGAGCTTCAGCCTTCTTTCTGCTCCTAGTTGGACCATGGGGAGGGAAAAGAGGTCACAGAAATGAAGCAACGTTTCCTTGATGCTGTGCCCAACCTGCTGGGCACATATGTGCGCAGATGCTCTCTCCTAATGAACCTCCCACAGGGTGACTGGCAGATGCCACCAGTGTCCATCCACCATTTGCGTGACCAGTGAGGGTTCCTGGCAGGTATGTGGACCTGGTCCTCCAAGCAGCCCCAGCCTTGCTGAGTGTTGACAGCCACTGTAACGTTGCATTGGTTCTGGTACATGTGGTGCTTTTGGCTTGAGGCTGTTCCCAAGAATACCCTCAGAATCCTGGTTGTAGTTTGAGACAGTAATTTAGCTGCCTTCTGTTTTTTTTTTTTCTTAAAGGTTCAGCAATTGTGAAAGAAAACATTAAAAATAGCATTGTGTGAAGAGACAGTCCTTCCAGCAGTTCTAGTCCTATTTTGCCTGTGGGTCAGTTTGGTCCAGCATGTTATCTTGAAGCATCATGCCGTTGGCATCCAAAACTAAAACAGATTTTATGTCATAACATCCAAGCAGTTATGAGGACATAGGAGGCTTGTCTAGGTTACAACATTCTCTCATGTTTGAACATGATAGCGTGCAGTCGAGTTAAATGGCACGGTCCTGAGCCGAGCTGTGGGTGTGACTTCTGAAGGATGTGCCCAAATGCCTATGACCTTGTCTCCCTCCTGCTGCTTTGCAGTCAGTCATATGGACAAAGGGCAACTTTCTCCTGCACTCCCATTTCTAGTTATTAGAAGCAAAAATCTGCATTGCCTGTAAGAGCATAAGTTAGATTTTTTCAAAAGCACTATAAATTTGAAGCGAGGCTAAAGGCCCTACATAAAAAAAAACATAAAAATTGAGCTTTGAGAATTCAGAAAAAGCACAGGTGCAATACCCTTCATCTAACTGAAGGGAACTAGGCAACAGTGTCTTCCTCACGTTGCAAATACAGAACACCAAGAAGCAGGCGGGTCAGGTATACAGATATTCATGAGATTGCTTCCTGAGCTATTTTGACCCTCTCCCCTTCCCAGTGTCTTTGTGGCAAGAAATAGTTGTTTTCCTGGGGAAGCAGGTTTGTGAACATACTTTGGCAATAATGGAGTTTTGCAGGCCATACCTGCTGCAGCTTAACAGTGTGACCAGATATATCTTGACTTCAGAGTTGCAGTTGAAATTCAGTATTGGAGTACACCAGTGTGTTAAGGAAGAGAAGGAAATAAATGCATTTAAGAAGTGTTGCTCTGGTGTTGGCATATACAGATGGGGTATAAAAGTTATAAAAGGAGACCAGCTGAAGATGGGAGGCTTTTTTTGCATTGGGTGAAATGGATGCTAAGCCGTAGGCTTTTACTTACTGGACCTCCACCAGACTGGGAGGCAGGGCATGTAAATTACTGTGCAGTATTAACAAGAAGCAGGGCCTCTGGGATGATGTGAGACAGGCAGGGTGCTCCTGGGGCTAGGTGCCAGCAGGGCAAGTGCCATGCTGTGGGCTGGGACATGGGGGAGAGCTGTAGGGCTCCCTGCTGTGGTCCCAAACAGTCCCACATGCTGCAAAGGACCGATGCTGGATTGTACCCCAGCTGTTTTGCAGAAGTTCAGTCCAGTTTATGGGATCTCTGCTGTAGAAATGGTGTTGGCATTAAAATTTACACAGGCTTTCTGCCCCAATTTGCTGCTGACAGCGTCTTCTTCCCCCTCCTGCCCAGGCACATGAAGATTCATGAGAAGGATCCGAACAGCACAGTGACCACAACTCCCCCATCACCACTGAAGCGCAGGCGATTGTCTTCAAAACGGAAGTTTCGTCACGATGAGATGGACAGAGAGGAGAGGATACCTGCAAAAAAGGTTCTTTATGGGGCATGAAGCAAAAAGATGGTTACCTCCTAAACTCTGTCAGCTGTTGAGATCAGGCAGTCAGCATGGGGATACTCAGATATGGGCATTTTACAGCCCTGTATATATATTTTAAGATGCCATGCTTGTCCTGTATAGGCAACACTGTTGTCTGAGATTGAAAAGTAATTTCTCGTTTCAGACACTGAAAGAATTGATTTATTTTTTTTAATTCTTTATTGTTTAAATTTGGGGTTGCTTATGATTTGTATTAGATAATTGATGTTGGATGACAAAAGGATGAACTATTCTTTTGCTACTGCAGTTTTCCTCTAGGTTGTTGTTTTTTTTTCTCTTGTTTAATTTGTTATAATCTTGCTGGATAATGATTTGAACTTGTAAAAAACTAGTGTTTATTCCAAAAGCAGCAACAGCTTAAGTCTGTTTCTGTCTTGAACTGGAGAAGAAAATCTGTAGTACATTTCCCTTTCACAGTAGCACAATCCTGCGTTACTGGAGTTGCAAGAGAAACCAGAAAAGTATTTGAAGGCTAGACATTTCCATTAGGGTTTTGTTTATGAAACATTTTAGTGCATTTCAGTAATTTGTACAAAATGTATGGTGGCTGCCAAACTTAACTTGACCCTTTCCATTTACTATCTCTTAACTGGCTAACTAGTAGCAGTTCCATTTAGCACAGCATCCCTTGTTTTGTGCATGCTTTTCTCACTGTAATCAGAAGAGGGCTACAGAAAACTCATTGCTTTTCCCTGGACCACTTGAGTTAGCAGTTGGCAGTATCTGAGCGGCATAAATAATTCAGGCTGACAGCTCGCTTAGCTTTCTAGAGGGTGAGGGTTGCTGGTTCAGTGGTATATAAACATACAGGTTTATAAGTTGTTCAGATCGTAGTTTCTCATTAGAACTGATGTATTAATGAGTTAGCTGCACACTTTATCTCCTACTGAGCCTCCTTTTCTCTCGTGCACGTTCTCACACACACACAGAGGCTCTGTTGCTTACTCTCTCTCTGTTACCAACATGAGTCATTTCTGGTCGCCTGCAGCAAAGTTATGGTTGAAGCCTGCTACTTTGTTTTTAAGAGAAAGACTTCAAATGGATTGCATCTTTGGTTTGTTGCTTAAAATTTGGTCTAGTGAGGCTTTTTCTCCTCTCTCTGAAGGTTGTCGAGGATGGTCACTCCTGTGAAGGGGATAAGAAGGCTGAGGAGGAAGTTTATCATTGTCCAGTGTGTTTCAAAGACTTTTTTTGCAAGTATGGGCTGGAGTCCCACATGGAGACACATCCAGATAATTCTCTGAGGTAAGAAATAGACCCGAGCGTGTTTCTGGTCACCTGGTGGCCTGAGACAGCCTGCTGGGGAGGGGGAGGAACCATTTACCCCGCTGCTCCCTTCCTGACTTTGTACAGGTTTTTAAATGCTTCTGCTCATCTTGTGTCACCAGGGTGCTGTAGCGCTTGGTTTTGTTATTTTTTTGCAAGTATGGGAAATCTTGCCAGTTAATATCTGGGAATGTTTTTAGGAGAAATTAAGGCATCCCTTCCTCCCCTCCAAGCCGATTGCTGATGTTACATAAAATTGCAGAATGCCAACGTGGCAGAATTTCAACAAGTTAAACTAAAAATGCTTAAAACATGAAGCAAAACTTGATAAAAGTATTCAGGTACCAACCTCTAAGATTACTCTGTCTGGGGGGAAGGCGGCAGCTGGATATAAAGGTTTTGTTGTCTGTTGTGGGAGATGAGTTTCTGGTTCCAGACTTTCAATAAAATGTGTTATGCTTTTCTGCCTGTTGAGGTTAGGGAATGGTGTGGATTTTGGCTTAAATCAGCTTCTTTTAACGAGGAAAAATTAGTTATTAATTGCTTGGGAAGGTGCTTGGCTGTTGTGTTTTTGTTCAGGTAATTGCCTCTGGGACTCCTGATACTTTTTTATTTCCAGTTTTTTATCGTGGAAAAATGTAGAGCCAGATACATGAAGATATAAAAGATATTCCAAGTCTGGTTTACGCATGTAGGAAAGCTGCTGTTTCAGAAGAGGATATTGTCCATTTGCAGAAGCTTGTCAGTGTTTTAAGCTTATTTTGGGGCACTGGACTCTGATTTTTTCAGAAGGGTGCACAATTCACCATCTTGAAGGTGAACACCCTCTCCTGAATGCAGTTTCTTAACAGAATGGCATGGAGCAGAGCCATCCCATTCTGTTAAATGGGGTTACTTCTATTACATTTTCCTTCTTTAAGAAAACCTTGGAAAATACGTGTAAAAACATTTTTTAAAGTCATTGTAAATGCTGTAATTATTGGGAACAGGAGTTGGAAACCTCTTTCTTAAGCTTGGTCCAGCAAATAGTAGTGCATTAAATGGAATTTGCTGTTTCTGAAGTAAATTTTCATTGTAGAGCGAAGCTGAAACAATTGTTCTCTGGGAAGAGTTCTACAATCCCCACAAAAGGGAGTCAGAGATAATTTTGCTATACACTGTACACTTTGTAGAAAGCAACTGTTATATTAGACTTACCCTAGCATTAGCCTCATTTTGAAGCTTCTATGAAGATATGACCTCTTTGCAAAGTTCTGTGCCATGGAGCTGAAAGGACAGGTGGATTCTCTTGCTCCGAGTGATGGATAAAAGTTAACAGAATGAATACCCTTCTAGCATGGCAGCTTTGCAGTCTGCTGTGGCAAGGCAGAAAGACACAATGGCTATGCAAACATGCTGTTCCTCTTCATGCAACTTCTTCTCTATGATTAGGAGACTTGCTTTTGGATAATATTCTCCTAAAATGGATTTTGCTAGCCTTGACTGGGCTGAGCAACAGAGACTAAAATGTGCCCCTAAATCAAAGCCATGATTGTCAAGCTGTGTGGGCATCAGTTAAGGGTGATGCTGGTCTTCATGGACTTGTCTAGATGATGGTGGGGTTTTTTGTCAAATACTTGCTTTAGTAATTTAGAATGTGTTAGTGGAGATAGGACAGAACAAGAAAGCTGTGGTTCTCCCTGGTCAGCTAACATATTCAAACACAGCTTGCCCTGCCTCTATGGTTTAAAACACATCTTTTGTCCTAGTCTAGACAAGTCAAACGTCACTGTGTGCTTGGCCCAACCAGAAAATCCTCTGGTAAGCAGAGCAGTCTGGGCCACTGTTAAGGTGACTGATCCCAAAGGAAATGGGTTAAAACGCTTTGCAGGCAGAGGCTGTAATCTCTGGTTCCCAGGGTTCTGCAAGACAGTAGGAATCAAGAAGATATGCTGAGCATGGCATGCCATTCTGTCCTGAGGTCATGTTAATGAAATAATTCCTCTTGCTGATGCTTAAGGTTGTTTTTTTTGAGTGAAAGAAATGAAGAAAAGGGAAGATTTTGCTGGAGTATCAGAGCAGAAGGTACGTGTGTATGGGTGTGCTCATGGCGAGGGAGCAAACTGCAAAGTGTTAGAAGGCGTTCATCAAGTCCTGGTGTTTCCTTATTGTAGAAGACGAGGAGGAAGAACTCTCCTCAAAGTTCAAACAAACAAGCCTAGCAGCTGTGTTATGAGCAAAGGACAGGGTGCAGAACACCCTTAGTCTATTTTTATTGCCAGTGTTGTAAAAGTAGGGTCATCTTACCAGGACTTCTGTGCTTGGTTTGGAGCTACAGCTTTAAGTAGCCCAGCACAGACTGTTTTGTCATGTGATCATGTAAGTGATGCTCAATCTCCCTAACCGTGCCTTTCTTTGTAAACCACAGGGCAAACTTCTGACTCCTTTTTGCTCCCCCAGTAGTTAGTATAGAAACGATTAGGGACATCATCTGTGGAGTGGTGCACCAGCATGCATTGCCTTGGTGGGGGTACCAGCCTTCCTCCCTTTAGAGATGCATCCGCAGCAGCAGCAGCAATGTGCTGGGGCGGGCAGAAGCTTCTGCCTAGCTTCCCTGTGGTCCTTTAATCCTTCCATTGTAGTGCTGTTGTGTAAATACAGCCTCTTGCCCTCAGAGCTGCCCAAGTCTGTCTGTCCCAGCCCCCTCTGCTAAGCAGCAGAAAAGGTAAGGCTGTCTGGCAGTTGATGATCAGTATGTGAGCAGCTAATTTACAGGGTGGGTCATTACCCTTCCAGATACTGTCAAATGAGCAACTTTAAATCACAGGGTTAGCTGTTTAAAGCCAGATGAAAAGACACCCTGAATTGTCTTCCCCAGTACTGCTTTTTAATGTAAAGCCCCGAGCAGGGAGCACCTCATTGTTTACTTGCAGCAGAATAAACAATACTTAATCCACTGATTGTGTGAGAGGGGCTCCCCCTTGGGAGAGTATCTCTTGATTATGTAAAATCCTAAATCGTGCATCTTTGTCTCCTAATTACCGTAAGAACTTCCCTGCTCTTGGGAGCAATAATAGGGCCCTTTGTGCTGCTGACAGTAGGCTGTGGCAATGCATCTCCTTCATGGCATTACCCCCCCTGGTCAGTCTCTGTCCCTTTGAAGCCCTGGGGCCTGCACCCTAATTAGTGACATGAGCTGGTTCCTGCAGGGTTGCCTGCAGTGAGAGGTGGCTCAGGGGTGCTTTCTGACCCCCTTTGCCCTCTCTACCTGGATTATTTAAAGAAGATGCCTGTTTCCCTGCAGCTGGGGCCTCAGAACACCATCTATTTTGGTGAGTTTGTATCTGAGTGCTGATATAATTAGCAGAGCACTGAAACGTTCTGCAGCCAATAGGGAAAATGAGAAAGCTTGAGGAGCAGGGGAACTTCTCTGGAAACTTTTGTGGTGGAGGGTTGCTGTCAAACATGGTAATGTGCTTGTAAAGGTCAGCTGACAGACAGCTCTGAGCAACATCAGCAGTGCAAAGGAGACGGGAGGATTTTCTGGGGAGAAAAGTTTTGAGGCACTATGTGAGGTTTCTCCTCCTTCCTTTGGCAAATACAGTGGAACAGGCTTAAAGTAAAATGTGTGGCTTTTAATAAAGTACATGCACTACAGAACTCCTCTGTTGGGTTTCACTGTAACCAGAACATACCCTTTATATTTTGCTCTCCTCCTCCAGGAGCCTTCTTACAGCACGCTGTACCTGCACCTAAGAGTGGTTTAATTTTTCCTTCCTTGCAGCAGCAGTGAGATGTTTGTGCTGCCTTTTGTGCCCATGTATTTTCCTGAGGAGAGAAGGTGGGAAATGGTGACATTGTGGCAGTTACCTGCTTTCTTGGAGACATGTTTCAACGTTTGATCTTGGCAAGGATGGTTGTGCAATGTGGTAAAAGCCTGGAAATTAATGAGTGTTATGGGGGCTTTCTAATGACATTTGGTTCAGCGTGGCATTGACTTCAGTTACGGGATTTGGTTTTGCTAACTTCTTACAAGAAGAAGTAGACGCTGCAGAGTGTGAAAGACGCTGTCTGCCTCAGTCACTGAGCTGACCTAGTGACCAGAACCAGTAGATGCCTGTTGCCATGAATGGATTCAGGGCAGATTAAGTTTTTTGACCTTTTACAGAGCATGTCCAAACAGTGATATAATATATTAAGCTTTGTAACTTGCCAAAATCCCAGGCATATTTTCACAAGGACAGCAAAAGCAGCTCTCTTGCCGCAGGGTAACGTGCTTCTGTAGAACTTCCAAACAAAGAAAACCAAAAGCCATTCACAGCCTACCTTGTTCTTCAAAACAGCTGACCCAAGTTTTGCTGAAACTTGTAAAGTCAAATTGGCTAGAGATTGAATGCTGCTATGGAAAGCTGTTGTTTTGAACAGTTAGATCAGTAACAGGCATAGCAACAGAATAGCTCAGTTCCTGGAATGGAAAGTGTCAGGATGCCCTGACCATTGGTGACTGTTTTCATTTGCCTCCGGTTTTGCCAGGGTAACTAATGTGAGCTTTTGTTTCTGAAAACACTCCCAAGTGGAAAATGTTGTCATTGTGTCTTGGTGTTACCTGGCTTCACACCTGAGGGTGGACAACTTAAGTGTGTTAGAAATGGTGTCTTGGACTCTGTGAGAAAAGTGTTTCACAAGATAGGAAGTGCAGCTTGTGATTCAGTCAGGCTGGTCACCAGGTTTTCCCCTTTGCTAGCACATCCCCATTCTTCAGTGCATGGTGACAGCTGGTGGGATGCTGCAGGGCACCCCAGGCCTATGTCCCTGGGTAATGATCTTAAAGCATTATATCAAATGCACATGAGCCGCCTTTTTAAAGTCAAGACAAAAGGAAGTGGGTTTGAGTCAAAATTATTCCAGCTACTTAGAACATTACATATTTATTGTCCACTTAACTGTTTTTCAGCACAGTTCTGCACATAGGCTTTGGGGAGATAAAGTAACCAAGAAAA